ATTGAAAATACTTTCGTTAATGTTGTCAGATACCTTTTGTATGCCTATTAAGTCCATTGACTAGTGTATAGTATCAGAGTAAAATATACATTTGAACTCTATGAAACGCACGACTATATTTGGGACATGCATTAAATGAAAAAGTTTGAAAAATAGAAAGAATTCCACTAATCTCACGTTTTATCTTCACGCACACATAACAAGTTGTGTAATGATATTTTCTTCGATAGGCCGTGTCGCATTCAGCTATTCCGGCTTCTTGACAGCGGGCAGCAATTCATTTAGGCGTCCTGGTGGAATATATGATACACATTATTTCAAGGCGCTCGAAGTGATAGCTTCAACTAGTGGCCACTATGCGTTTGCCTCCGGTAGTACCACTGACTTGTACGGCTGTTTGTATGATTCATTCAGTCAATACTCTCCATTCTCAAATTTAATTGAATGCAACGATGATTATGCTCCTGGAGTAAATTTCAGGCTCGAAATACATTTGTTGGCCTACCAATCTAAGGTTCTGGTTGTTACAACATACGAACCTTCAGAAACAGCATCATTCGACCTCAAGGCCTACGGTCCTGGTATAATTACTGGGGAAGACATCCCATACAGTCAAAAATATGAAATTGACTAGTTTTAACAAAAGCTCTTTTTCTTTTTTTAATGCATTTGTGATCGTCAAAAATGTCCGGAAAAACGCGTTTTAACAATCACACTTTTCCAAATTTTAACCGCGTTTTAACTATCTGTAAACCACAGATTGGCAAGTCAGAGGTTTTTACAAGTCAAGTCAAGTCGATAGCTTTCAAAAAGATTTTCAAGTCGAGTCGAGTCAAGTCACAATGCTTCCCAAGTCAAGTCAAGTCAAGTCAAGTACTTTTTTACCTAATTTTGTCATAATTCAGGCCGAAAAGTAACTACGAAATCTTACTAGGCCGGCAGTTACGCATAATTTATCTAACAGATGAATGACTAACATAATTAGATCGATTTTTCTTGGTGGGCTTGTAATTTGACTTACAAGGGAAAGCCCAAGTTCAGTTAAGTCAAGTCCAGTTAAGTCAAGTCATAGTATTACTCAAGTCAAGTTAAGTCAATAGCTTCTAACAAATATTTCAAGTCAAGTCGAGTCAGACTTGGACTTGACTTGCCCATCTCTGCTGTAAACTATATACAGATTTTTTGCACTCATCACGTGAATGCGTTTAAACGCATGAATTCGGCTATTTTTGAGGGTGTACAATTAGTTGAATAACAAGCCGTAGTATTGCATTTGTGCTGTGATGCATTTTCGCATTGCTTTGATAAACGTCTTTAATCCAAGTTATTCGAATTGTTATGATAAGAATGTGCTATGCTGTAACGCGTTAAAAATGAACACGACACCGATAAACAGAAGTAGCAAATGTAAATATTGTTTAATACCAATAAGAAAATCACATAGAGCATTGTTTTGTATTGAATCAAAAATCGGGTGTCCGGACAGAATGTCGCAAGGACAAAAGGTTGCATGGACAAGATGTCGTTTGGAGAAAATGTTGCGAGAGTCAGCTGGTATATTTTTTTTAGTCTACGATTTTGTGTTCTGTAATTATAAAAACAGATAAAATGAGATCATTCATCCTGACATAAAATAAATTGAAAGCAAGACGTTCATTATCCTATTTTTGAAGCTTAATTAATATCTATGGAATAAGAACAATTCGCTTGAAAGAGAAGGCTCATTCTAATAATTAGGGATAATCTACTTACTTGACCAAAAGTCAAATTGTATATGTTTGATTGGTTTATTGATTTGGATATATAAAGAACGGATCGTTTGACTATTTCATTTGATTCATTATATCAACAAAATGTCACGTATTGAGAAACTCACGTCCCAGAAAAATCGACCCATGATAGCCCACCGTGGTTTGATTTATACGTTAGAACGAACATCAGACGACAAGTGCACTTTTCGTTGCAAAAATCGGAACTGTAAAGGTAATAGGTTTTTGCAAATATATTACAAACATAATATACCTTTGATTTATTATTCAGCTCGGTGTCATACAAACTTATCTATGGATTTCTTCATGTCAGATCCAACAGCACACTCGCATGCTCCAAATCCAGAACAAATTCCTGCTATTGAAGCTATGAACAAGATCAAAATGAAAGCAGCGAGTTCTGACGAGGCGACAAGCTCAATTATACAATCGTCGTTACGTGCATTGCCTTTGACTGCAGTTAGCAGTCTACCATCACCTGCGTCATTAGCAAGAACTGTTCGAAGACAACGTCCTACGCCATGTTCAACTTCGAATAGTCTACTACCGGACTTGTTTAGAAAAACAGATCGTGGAGAAGATTTTGTTTTATATGAAGATAATCAAATGATAATTTTTGCTACAACGAGAAACTTATCGCTGTTGAAGCAATGCAAGCATTGGTTTGTCGACGGCACCTTTAAGATTTGATAAAACATATCTCATCTTACCAAAACAGTGCAATTATACCTTTCATGTAGGTCTGCCCAGAGGACTTCTATCAATTATTCACAGTGCACGCGTTGTTGCAAGCTGTTGTTATTCCACTTATCTACGGATTATTAATTGGCAAAAGCGCTGACGATTACAAAAAATTCTTCGAAAAAGTATTAGAACACGACGACTTCGAACCAGAATCAATCCTTAGTGATTTTGAATCCGGCACAATAAAAACTATCAAAGATATTTTCCCCAACAGTGACCATCGAGGTAATAGACGGAAATAATTTGTTTGCCATAATTTCCAAACGGTATTTTAGGTTGCCTGTTCCATTTTGGGCAGGCGGTTTGGCGTCATATACAAGATAATGGTTTAACGAGAAAATATGAAGACGACGATACTTTTCGATTAAATGTTAGAAAACTACTTGCCTTACCCTTCGTTCCGGCGTTGCAAGTAATTGAAGCGTTCAACTTACTTGCTGATGACTTCGACGATGAAGCTGAAAATCTGGTGGAANCCGTTGCCATGCTGTCTCTGTTATTCCTTTCGCCTTCGATCGACTTTCAAACTGGATGATTGGGTTTTCTTTTATTGTCGCTTCGACAGTCATGATCTTCTATTCATTCGACTACCCAAAGAAACTAGATAAGAAAGTCTTATTATATGATTTGCTTCGAAACGAGTATCTTTCATAGCGCTGCATATGTTCAGAATACTGTTTCTACAGTCCACGCGTCTGTAGTTACTAAGATGGAATTCCACCGAAGGGTATATCACTTTGTGAACTACTTCTACTAAATTCCCATGAAAGGACATGATGTATGTAGCCTACAAAGCAAAGATGATACCAAGCTCATATCACTTTTTCGAATTTCTTCAATTAGAAACATCATCATGTACAATGCATTATATATTTTCGTGTAAGTTCTTGAGATACTATCTTTGTACACATGACGTCCGTGAATAGCGTTCAGCTCACCATCTTCTACAAAAGATTTTAGAACAGATAAAGAAAAATATCTCTTTTGTAAAGAGGCAGGAACAAGCCCAGGCTCAGCGAATAAAACGAAATTCGCCCTCAAATTCGAATTTCCAGATGTTAGAAATCCTTCGATCTACTCTGGCAATGGATGTTAATAAGTCGTGGCTACTTAATGAAAAATTAATAATTAATTAAGCAACACTAACGTCTGATTCGTGATCCCCGACCTCGATTACCCTACGGGTAATCATTTTCTAACAACTATCTTTCAATTTCAATGATTTTAGAAATGCTGATTTCTGATTGGATAGGACAGACAGACTTTAAGCTTTTTAGCACAGCATTTAAACGCTGTATAACCCTTTCTTTCAGAAAAGGAAAAAAGTTTGAAAAATAGAAAGAATTCCACTGATCGCGCGTTTTATCTTCACGAACACATAGCAAGTTGTGTAATGATATTTTCTTCGACAGGCCGTGTCGTGTCAAGCTATTCCGGCTTCTTGACAGCGGCAGTAATTCATTTACGCATCCTATTCGCATGTCTGGTACATATTATTTCAAGGCGCTCAAAGTGACAGCTTTAACTAGTGGCCATTATACGTTTGTCTCCGATAGTACCACTGACTTGTACGGCTGGTTGTATGATTCATTCCGTCAATACTCTCCATCCTCAAATTTAATTGGATTCAATGATGATGGTGCTTCTGGAGGGAATTTCAAGCTCATTACGTATCTGTCGACCTACCAATCCAAGGTTTTAGTTGTAACAACATTTTCACCTTTAACAACAGCATCATTCGACGTCAAGGTCGACGGCCCTGGTGTAATTACTTGGGAAAATATATGAGGATAGAAAGCTGATCTATTTGAGAATAAAAGTACGCAGCGACCGAATCACGAGCTGCCAGTGAAACCGATTATAATACTATTTTTTCTTTGAGGATGGGCTTTCATTTCAAGTTTTAAGGAATGATTACAGATCATTCCCATATTGATCTCAAAAATTTCTCAAATCATTCATAAAATCTTCGAAACCTTTAATTAATTGTCCTCTTTCGAAAGTCATACGTTTTTTTCGCGCTGATCGAACCATTCAATTTCAATCTATTCCGCACCACCATCGGCACAATTAGGACAACCAATTGTTTCATTTAATTGTCGATAATTTTTCTAATCAACGA